GCGGAAATTCTGCCGCGGAACGTCCGCTGCGGATATTCCGCAAGTGTGACACCGGCCTAAAATAAAAACGATTGATTTCAAAGACGTTATATAAATTAGACAACATTTGTTACTATCTCTTCTCACGGGGAAAAAAAGCCGGACGATCAATAATGCGATCTAACGGAGTAAAAATCAACTGTAATTTTAAAATCTATTATCAATTTTTCAATTCGGGATTTTTTTCGATTTGTGATTATAAAATAAGTAGAATCACATAATACATCATTCTTATCATTTTTATTCAAATGTACGTGTTTTTTTCACGTAGYAACAATTATCATTAAACCGAAAAACCAAATAGTTCATTTATAATAATTTACTGAATTTTGAGTACACTATAGTGTACTCTGGGTCTGAAAAATATAATAATTTATTTTTCATATCTTTCACGTGACGTCGTCGTCCTTCATTACTTAAAGTTACTTGATCGGTTATAATATTTTTTGTACTTGTTGATGCTAGTCGAGATTTATTGCTATGAACAACAAGATATCGTTGGTAGGTAATGTCTGTTTTATATTACGTTTACAATAGTATTATTATTAAAGTTTTTATTTATATACCTATTTTTGTTAATAATAATAAGAATGTTATATAAAAAATAAAAATAACAAAAAAATGTATTAAACATTTTTTTTTAAATTATTGGATAATTTAAAGACTTTAATGTTATTTTTTTTTAGTTATTTCATAGTGTACTTGTTTGAGCTGATAATAATTTAGTATACACAGTAAGTTAAATACTATGATATAAAATAATAAACTAATAAGCAGCTAACAATAATAATTTCATGTTGTCCAAGGATACAAACTTAAGCAATGACAGCTTTTGATAACACTTCTTGCCTGACATATTATAAGAATAACCATTCAGGCTTACTCAGGCGGAGGAGATTAAGTAGGAGCAGTTGCCACCCTGGAATTATTTTTTTGGGTTGGTTATGGTAATCATTCCTTACATTTTATGCAATACAAAATACATTATTTGTAAGTAACTATTCCATTTCCTACATACATAAATGAAAACATGTCACAATCCATACGTAATCGCAATAACCAGACAGTGCAATTAAAAAATGAGAAATAAAAACATTCTCTCTTTACGAATTTCCGCAAACGTCTTTAGAGACTTATACTAAAACTATCTTTTTAATTTCTACACCAATGGCCCTAGACGCAGAAGAAAACATGTCTTATAATATTGAAAAAAGTAGATAGTGTTACAACTGCAGCACAAGACATATATCCATTGGTCTAAAACGAATAATCCTTCCTAGTTAATTGCAACGATAGAGTCGTGAAAGACGTGCGAAATTTGCAAGTTGGTGATTAAACATTCATACTCGTTAATAATCGAATAATTACATCGTTAATAATACTTCAGTTAAATGTTTAATTGGCGCTCGCCAAACGAAATGTATAGGGTTATGAGTATGAAATATCTCACATGAAATTTTCCCTTTTAAATAATTCAAGAAGGCTGAATGTTTCAAGTCTGAAATATTTCAATGAAATATTGAAAAATATTTTTTTAATATTTTTTTTGTTTTTGGTGTGTTTGACAAAATCATCACTAAATGGTTACACTGATTTCATAGCTGATTAGTGATTATCGGTTCACAATTATGTTTTTCTTTGGTGTTTATAAATTATAATGGTAATTGATAATAGTAATATTATATTATATTTATATATTATTATATTCATGATATTAATAAAATTATATTATACTAAGGATTTAATGAATATAACATTTTTATTTTATTTGTATTAAAATAGAAATACTATATAAGGTTTTAACTCATAAATCATTATAATAGGGACTCTAGTTAAAACTTATTTAATTAGTAATTATAAAATATTAAATAAACATGAATTAAAAAATTACTCAGTCACGTTATGCGTGTACCTACATTACAAGTGTATATTTGTTATTCGCTGCATAGGTAAGCAAATTACAAAGTCGTTATTTATAATTAACAAAGTGAATGGGTAGGTAACTATACGTTACGTAACGTTAAATAAGGTTTATATAGTATCATGTGTATATTTACAGTATAATAGTGCCAATATCATGTACCCATCTCATTCTTTTTTATTCCAGTAAAGGCTTTCGATTAATTATCATATTTTTTAAATACTACGAATAGTGGTGTATAACAACTCTACAAGTACCTAACTTCACGTTAGTGATATTCATTTTATAAAAATAATTATTGTCGTATACCAGTATAGTTTAATTTGTAAAGATAGTTAGAGTTATTTAATATTTCAAAGAAATTACCCATTTAACAAGTGAGCGTTACAAAAAGAATGGACCATAATTACTAAGAAAAAGGTTTTAATCAATTAGTAGACTTATAAAATAAAATTAATTTGTGGTGTTCTGAATGAAATTACATTGATTTTATATTTAATGGATTTGATCTGAGCAATTTGCTATTAATTTTGATATATGTATCGCATCCATATCGCGTTATTGTACGTTTCGCGAAATGGACAACGTTTGCATCTATTTCGTGAAATGAAACCGCGTTTTCTCCACTTCACGTAATTACACAATATGGATAATATTTCCTGAAATGGATACCTAAATCATCATTAACAGAACTTGTTCCGTCTTTTGGATGTCCATATAGCAAAA